ATGGCTATCTGTTGTTAATCAATACGTGCACATCGGATACCTCCTCAGGCTAAACTAATTGTTACAACGACCGCTGGGCGAAACCTGGACAGGATTTGTTACACAGCGAGACTGGTCGAAGCATTCAAAACCTGATTGTATGTGTAGGAGACAAACACAATAGTCAACACAACACTGTGACAATACAACACATTATACAATACTATACAATTCATACAATGCAATCATTACCTACAACAGGGTTGGAAATACGTATACTGGGTGCATGTGCACCTTAGTGTACCCAAATTTGGAGCTGTGCACCCAATATTTTTCTGTGGGTGCACATATTTTAGTAGATATTTTTGTACATATTAAATGTATAATAGTATATGTAAGGATATTCTTGGCATCTAAGTATCAGAAAACTTATAAAATCTTTGTTGTACTACTTGTGTAAGCATTTGAAGTTAGCTCCCATTTCAGATTCAAGCTTAGAAGAGGAGAAGTAAGATCTGTAGTAAATAGGTTTTGTTTTATATATGGTGCACCCAAAAAATCTTTTGTGCACCTAAATTTTTAAGTTGGGTGCACCAGTGCACCTATTCCTAAAAATGTATTTTGAGCCCTGAATAAGTTATCATATACAGCTAGTGCCTTGAATTATGTGTAACTCATTGACATACCTCAGTACGTACCTGTCCTACTGAGTAAACAAAAGAACCGGATCTTACTGGTAAGGAACAAACAAACCAGCTGGAGGCCCTTAAAGACAATTCAGAGATAAGGAATCTTGAGTTATTAAGATCACTTGGTTGACTCTGGTATGCAGCAAGGTAAGTCTCATCATGATTTTGAAAACTATTTCTGACATGTAAATCTCATATCTAAACAATGATTGCTGATTAGAAATTATCTATTTGAAATCAGAACTTCAAACTGTAACTAAATCTTTGTACTGTAGCGAGTTGTCAGAAATTTTACCTGCATTAAAGAAAAAGTTGCTGCAGTCTGCTATTCAGGGCTCTCAGTCTCAACAAATTACAATGTTCAAAAATGAAGTCTTTACTATCTTCTTGCATAGCCACAGGCTTATATTAATAATATTATTATGTAAGCTAAGGGTTAGCTAAAGAGCATCCATAACACAAAGCCTAAAATTTTCTAGCCTTTTTACACAGTATGTGTAAATAACTTCACCTGCAATTTGCAAAGATGTTCTATAGATTCATGATTGTAAAAAAATGTATTTCAAGCCCAACAGGTACATAGATCTGGGATCTGTATATGTGGGGTTAATCCTTTCAAAAAGTCAGCAGCTGGAACAAAAGTACTCAGTGAAGTGCTCAGTTATTGTACTTGTCCAGGAGAGTGAGTATTAAGTGCTGATTACGAGACTCGTCAACAAAGCATTCTGTAAGCCATGGGCTGAAGTGGATGTTTCAGAGGCATTGAGGAGGTTTGATAGGAAACTTAATACTATTATAATAATTCCTGATTTTTTCACAATACTGTTACAGCATGTTCACTGTTTTCACTGTCACTTCTGTAGCGTTAACTTATCATTACAGTTAACAAATAATTCCTGGACTTTCTTTTTTCTGCACCTGTCGCCACCGTGAATATATAGTTCTGTGAACATGTCAATTTTTCTCAGACCGTGAACTTTTGCTACTGTGAAAATGAAGTAAGTTACAGTAGTAGGCATGTAGTGTATTACTTAACAGGCCTCAAAATACTTCAACTAATCATTCATTCATATCATAACTGAACCTGTCTTCCTCTACTTTTTTCTAGCTTGCTAACTTGGTTCTTGTTTCTTTACTTTTTTCTGCAATTTCAAAAACGTTTCTGCTTTGAAAGTGCAACAAACGCATCATGAAGAGTATCACTGAACAGGCCTCGAAAATACTTTTTGTTTGTTTTCTGTTAATTCTTTTACTTCTAAGTTCTAGCCAAATTGTAATCTCAAACATTTGTCTGTTAATTACATGTAAATGAGTAAAAAAAACACACACACATACACTATCTCATCATCTCATCATCATCATCTCCGTTACTGCCTAGCCCTACCATGTAGGATTATTGGCAGCCGTTACGCATTGATTAGTTACAATTGTGATCCAGTACATAAAACAAGGTAAAACAAGGATAAATGAGAAGGGAACATAAGACAACTGATTTTGTGTGTGCTAAAGACGGGACAAGTGCATTAGTGCGTTAGTAATATTTACATATATACAAGACATGATGGGGTGGCTCAATGCAGCAGGGTCCTCGCCAGTTCAGATTTGAACTGGGCAAGAGACCCCGCCTCCGCCGCACCAGGCTCAAGTTCATTCCATTCCCTGATGGTGCGGGGGAAGAACGAGAGCCTGTAGAAGTTGGTTCTGCTCGCGATGGCCTGCAATGTTTGAGTGTGATTGATGCGACGGGAGCATCGAGCCACCGGGACAATCCTGGTTGAGTGTGGGACGGAGACAGCGTTATGTATGATCTTATAAAGCATGACCTGGCGGGCGATCTTCCGGCGTACTTCCAGAGACTGCCAGCCCAGGTTTTGCAACATAGATGAAACAGAACTTGTACGTCTGTAGTCACTGCAGACAAAACGGGCAGCTCTACGCTGGACCATCTCCACCCTACTCACCTGGTCCTTGGTGTGGGGATCCCAGACACTACAGCCGTACTCTAAGGAGGGTCTTACAAGAGCCATGTAAGCTCTCTCCTTTGCCGCATTGCTTGAGATTCGTAGGCAGCGTCTCAGCATTCCTAAGGTTCTGTTTGCTTTCGCTGTAACTAGATCGACATGTCTGCCCCAGGTCAAGTTTGAGGAGATGGAAACACCGAGATATTTGGTGGTACTTACCTTGGTTAAAACGTGGTCATGGAGGGAATAAGGGAACGTTATTGGGTTCCTAGAAGAGGGGACGGTCATCACTTCACATTTAGATGGGTTGAAGGCCATCAACCACTCCTTCTCCCAACTACAAATACTATCGATGTCATGCTGCAGTCTTTTACAGTCGTCTTCTTCCTTGATACTCATTTGCAAGATGCAATCGTCGGCGAAGAGCCTGACTTTAGCATGTGCAGCGTATTTAGGAAGGTCATTGATGTATGCTAGAAAGAGAATCGGACCCAGGACTGTACCCTGAGGTACGCCCGATGTTACAGGCACTGGGTCCGAACGCTCCCCGTCTAGCACTACAGTTTGTGAGCGGCCCTGCAGGAAATTCTGGATCCAGACAAGTGCCTTACCAGTAATGCCGTAAAACTGGAGTTTGTGTATCAGCCGTAGATGAGGGACCTTATCAAAGGCTTTAGCAAAATCCATAATGATAAGGTCCGTCTGGGTCCCGTTTTCCCTGTTGTGGGCCAAATCATCAATAAGAGATAGAAGCTGAGTTTCACATGACCTGCCGTGCCTAAATCCATGTTGGAGATCGTACAAGATGTTATTAGTATCAAAGTGGGACATCATAGAACTTGCTATGATGTGTTCCATGATTTTTGAACAGATACATGTTAAGGAAATAGGCCGGTAGTTGGCTGGGTCGAGACGATTGCCTTTCTTATATATCGGGGCGATGTTAGCCTCCTTCCAGGCTTCTGGTACAGCTCCAGTGTCGAGACTTTTTTGAAAGATCACCTGGAGAAAGGGGCTCAATGTAGAACTGAGTTCTTTAAGGACACATGCGTGCACATGGTCCGGGCCACATGCTTTGTGAGGGTTTAGGTTTTCCAGCAGGGTTGTGATTCCGTTTGTAACGATGTTAATTTCTGGCATTAGTGGGTGAGGGCTTGGCCCCATGTTAGGCAGAGGGCCTTCTAGGGGTTCAGTAGTGAAAACTGACTGAAATTGCTGGTTTAGTATATTTGCTTTGGCCTTTCCGTCCGAGATGAGCCTACCTTCGTTCTTAAGGTGAGATACTCCGGCTCTCTCGGACTTCAGGCTTTTCAAGAAGCTCCAGAATTTTTTGTTGACTTGTTTGCATGACGGAGACTTGCTTTGGTTAGAGTCAGTTGTGTCTGTATAAAGCTCTACACTTCACAGTATAACACCCAGACTTGTTTACATAGTTCTAGTCAATTACCATTGAGCCGTGTAATGTCAAATTTCAAGGTACATTTATAAGTAAGCCACCAAGTAACTCTAAAGCCTGGGTCTAACAGCGTGTACACATCATCAAAGTTGTCTCATTGGATTGTTCCATTTGGAAACTTTAGGGGACAGGTAGCAAAATGGACTGTCCCTAAAAAAAGTGTTTGAACGAGTGCAGCTGTGTGTACTAAGGAGAAAAAACTTCATACGGATTTTGAAGGCAAGTCAGTTTTAGAGCATAACCTCTCTCTTGCATTATATTATATTATATTCAAGGACTCCTCTAGGCATACTTTAATTGATTTTTGCTAGAAGCATTTTCTTCATGATACATGTAGTTTATTTTCAAGTCTTGCTTCAAAATTAAAGAAGTTACTTTTGGAACATCATTACTTTAACTTAAAGATGACTGCCCAATGCCCATCCCAAATAAAACACACATGAAACGTGGAATAGACTTAGTATCTATCTATATTTCATACCAAAAATATACGTTGTTCCTTCGCTGTACATAACAACTATCGTATGCCATCTACACGCAAAAATAGTTTACTTTGCACAAGAGCAAACAACTTTCTTTACGGAATGTTACTGTCGAAGCTTGTGCAGTAAAATACAAGACACTTGTGTGCAAAACCAGTCCCTGTTTTAGCATTTTGCGCTATCGACGGCTTGAAAACGGAAAGCCAAAACTACACACACACAGCTGACGCCAACACACGATGAAATTTACTACGTGGAAACAAGGCGTTACGCGGACACCGGTTTCCACACAACCGACTACTACACCCTCAAACAACCGTGCCGCTTTGCACACAAGCTCGCATTCCGTTAAGAAGGATATAAACTGAGCTAAACCTTCAGTTTTCAAACGATCAGGGGGTTAAAAAGAGGTAAAATAACGGAATAAACTCACCAGAACGAACAGAAACACGGCGAAACAACTGGGCGCCGCCATCTTGCCACGTTGGACTGATGGCACATGCGCAATGACCTCCCGTGAGTTAGCGGGTTGATATTAACCTGTTAACCAGCGGGACAGGGTGACACGCCCCTTTCTTAGCCTATCAGCTGACGCCATGTGTTGGGCTTTGTGTATAAACAGGCGAGTGGTACCGGATACGGCCTACACTGGCCTAAAAGAAAGCAAAATTCAGAAGATGTAACGTTACTAATGATATCTTCAAAGTTCATCTGTGTTGGTAGATGTCATTATGAAGCAATTTCCAACACAAGAAATTAAACTTACACATATTTCCATATTAGATGTAGGACAATTGAACATAACTTTTACAGCTTATACAACTTTGAAACCGAGTTGTAAACGTTACTCCTATAGCTAGTTAGTACTCTATTCAAACATAACTGGAATTAATCTAGTCTTGTTGGATTTCAGTCCAAAAAAGGCTATAGTACTGCAATAGGTTATAGCAGTATTGCAAAAGGATAATGATAATTCAAGGGGAAATGGGCAAGAAACGTAGGACGTTACCCAACGTTATATGTGGGCTCTTAGATGTTTAACATTACATTATATGAAAAGTTAAAACAGACGCTATCTACTCCCAACTTGTGGTAACGTTACTGTATGTTGCAACTATCCATTGGATAGTAGAGGAACTTCTATACAAAACTGTATGCTACGACTAGTAGTAGGGCAATAAAGTTGTATCAAATGACACTTGTGACTAGTATATAATTCTTCATAATAAAGTTTATTACAGAGCTTTTCACTGTAATCTTTTGCACCAGTGTGAAAATGTAGGTGCAAACCACCTGCATAACATATTACAATGTTGTAAAATGATCGCATGTGAAGATTACACATTGCTGCAATACCGGCCACTACCGCTAGGAACCGTTCTTGCATCCATCATGCATATAGCTGGAAATAAAATTAATTTTTTGCATATTATGGCCCATACATACACAAGCAATTAACTTATCCGAACTGCATTGCAAGAGGGTCATTGAATGAAAACATAGCAAAATTGTGATCGCAAAATTTCTGTCGGCAAACTTTAGCAAGACATCACGCTAAATAGTAATATTGTATAACAGACCTCTGTACTAGTAGTAACATGTATTCTATACTCTTACGTAAAACTTTATGAAGATTTGAACTTCTGAATCACACATTATAACATTACACAGGTGATCGTAATGGATAGGTCCAACTGGAAATCACGGGACCCCTTTGAAGGTACCGCCTGTCCGTCGCCTAGTAACGGTTACCCCCGCGATGGTTGACCTTTCACCCCAACATACCTGCGTAGGACGGACAGGTGCATTGAGCATTGCCCGTTTTCTGACTTTTTTGGCGAATTTTTCGACTTCGGATCGTCGCGTTTTGACTAGTGGTAGGTAAACATTCTGTTTGTGGTAGTTTTGGCGGCTGTTTTTTTTATCTTGTTTGGTCTATATGTTTTATCAGTAAACAAAAACGAATCGTACCCGGAAGTGGCTACCAAAAAACTTAACGTTACAACTTAACCACAGCAATCCATGATCTAACAAATAAGGACGAAATGTTCGCGCTCCATGCGAAAAGATCATAAGTTGCACTATGCTTGTGTCTGGGAGGAGGTGTGTTTTAGGTGTATGAGTCAAAAATCATGTCTCTTGCTTGGCAAAAAGTACGAAAGTCCATAGCCGACTAGCAATGCTTTAATTCGATAAGGTAAGGCGACTTTGTCTTGAACAAATAGATCTGAGTTAGGGCATCGCATCGCCAGAGGTGGCTAGCCTCCACGGGAGTCCGGCCACGGGGAGGTAGTTTCTTTCCCTCCGAAGCGCGGCCAGTCAAACCTACAAACCCATTCATACATAGTTATAGACATAGCTATGGTTTCGGACAATTACCTTTCCTTTTGTAGATTTTGAAGTTATTTTGTACTCTGTTTCAATGTTCTTTAATGTTAGTTATTTGCAGTTAGCCTTCGGACAGGAATTTGCAACAAACTTATTATTGTTGTTGTTCACAGACGATCGAACAGGTGTTTCTCCAAGATGGCGGATCAGCCACCGGACGGATTCAGAGAAGAAATCCGTGAAGAGTTTCTGACGTGCAGTATCTGTATGGAGGTGTACACCCGTCCCAAGATGCTGCCGTGCGTTCACACCTTCTGTCAGCGATGTCTGGAAGGATACGCCGCCGGAAAACCCTCCATAGCTTGCCCAACTTGCCGCCGAGAGGTTGTGCTACCGTCGGGCGGCGTCCAAAATCTCACCGATAACTTCTACATCGCAAGTTTGTGCGCCAAAGTTTCCAGTCCTGCTTCCCACGAAACTCATCAGACCACAGGACAGACGCCTGCCCCTCAGGCGGAGAACCCGTGTTCGAATCACCCTGGCAACCAGGTTCGGTCGTTCTGTAGAACATGTCAGATCGCTACATGTGCCGAATGCGCAGACCACCACCCCGGGCATGCTATGGACGATATTGAAACAGTTCTGACAGAGAAACGTGGACAAATCGGACAAACCTTAGAACACGCAAAAGGTAGTTTTTTTTCCCTTCATTTTACATAGTTTCCTGTTTCAACAAACCAGCTTTTTCATTCATTGTCATTACAAGTACCATGCCCTTCTCTAGTTCTTTAATTCACAACAGACATTAATTATTACTTCAAGCAAGTTTCATTTTATTTGACCCACTGTGTGTTGGTTTGGTTATTATGAAATCTCTGCATTCCTCTGATCATGTACAGTGTCTTATGTTATAAGTGTATATGGGCTGGGAGATTTTGTAGCAAGACAAAATGATAAACTTTCATTTATCCATCCATTCATTCATTCAATCATTCCTTCAGGCAGGATCCATAAGCTGTACGGTTTTCTTGACGAACTTGACCAGGCCGACTCTCACTCGGAGCGGAGTTTCCAGGCTGCCGAGAGTCTGGTGCACCAGACCTGCAGGAGACTTTTGTAAGAGATCTCTTTTTCATCCATTCATTCATTCTTTCTTTCTTTCATTCAGGTAGGATCCACAAGCTGTACGGTTTTCTAGACGAGCTTGACCAGGCCGACTCTCACTCGGAGCGAAGTTTCCAGTCGGCGGAGAGTTTGGTGAACCAGTCGTGCGGGAGACTGGAGGAAATCTCTTTTTCATTCATTCATTCATTCGTTCATTCACTCATTCTTTCATTCAGGCAGGATCCACAAGCTGTACGGTTTTCTAGACGAGCTTGACCATGCCGACTCTCAGGCGGAGCGGAGTTTCCAGTCGGCGGAGAGTCTGGTGAACCAGACGTGCCGGAGACTGGTGGAGGAATCTCTTTTTCATTCCTTCATTCCTTCATTCTTTCATTCATTCTTTCATCCAGGTAGGATCCACAAGCTGTACGGTTTTCTAGACGAGCTTGACCATTCAGTCATTCCTTTATGCATTCTCCATCCATTCATCCACTCATTCATTCATCCATTAATTCATTCATTCATCCATCCATTCATTGAATAATTCATTCATTCATTCATTCATTCATTCATTCATTCTTTCATCCAGGCAGGATCCACAAGCTGTACGGTTTTCTAGATGAGCTTGACCAGGCCGACTCTCAGGCGGAGCGGAGTTTCCAGTCAGCGGAGAGTCTGGTGAACCAGACATGCGGGAGACTGGTGGAGGAATCTCTTTTTCATTCATTCATTCCTTCCTTCTTTCATCCAGGCAGGATCCACAAGCTGTACGGTTTTCTAGACGAGCTTGACCAGGCCGACTCTCACTCGGAGCGGAGTTTCCAGTCGGCGGAGAGTTTAGTGCACCAGACGAGCGGGAGACTGGTGGAGGAAATCTCTTTTTCATTCATTCATTCTTTCATTCAGGCAGGATCCACAAGCTGTACGGTTTTCTAGACGAGCTTGACCAGGCCGACTCTCAGGCGGAGCGGAGTTTCCAGTCGGCTGAAAGCTTGGTGCACCAGACGAGCAGGAGACTGGTGGAGGAGGTATGCAGACAACAGGAGGGGGTAGTGGCTGACCTGAGAGCGCGGGCCGCGGCCAGGAGGGCCGAACTCACGCAGCAGAGGGAACGGGTAAGGAGATGGTAGCCTCTACCAGGCTTGGGGAGGCGGCTGGAAAGAGTAGAAATCGGCTAAATAGAGAGATAAGCATGCCAAGGGAGTTTGTCCGTTGAGAGAACATTTCGCCGCTCGTTCTGTGCTCAACGGACAAACTCCCTTGGCATGCTTATCTCTCTATTTGGCCGATTTCTACTCTTTCCAGTCGCCTCCTGAAGCCTGGTAGAGGCTAAGGAGATGGAACGTTGTTCATGATACTATATATCTACTAAGATCACAAAACCTACTTATGATTCAAGATGTAGGACTATTCACTAGCCACTGCACAAATGGTTTTGATTCAGTGGGAACATATACACAGCCACATATCACTGTATCAAAATAAGAAACAAAACATTAAATCAGGGCCTTTTATTTTCTTCATAGTTATCTGCCATCCACCTTCCGGCATGGCAACAGACATCTTTGCCCATTTTCGGCACGTTGACCACTGTCAGAAGGCAACAAAATTTCTTTTTTCCCCAAAAATCAGGCGAGTATTAATGCGCGATGTCATTCATGAAAATTACTTGCTGTGGCCTTAATGTTTTTATCTCCTTCTGCTCTCCTTAGGTCCAGAAGACGATGTCGGACCTCATAGTCGCCTGTCGTCGTGCCGAGGAAGACATGCGGACAACCGACATCCAGGCGATGTCCACACGACAACACGACCTCACGGAGATCGTCACAAGCCAAGGGGCGACCGATCTCAACCTCAGCGGACAGGAAGTCGAGTTTAAACCCTGCTCAGACGCCGTTTCTATCGGCCAACTTGGTGTGAAAGACTCTGGCGGGACGTTAACGTTACCCCAGTCTCCGACTAGGCCACAGGCACAGCAAGCGGCTACCGTCCAGGCTAACATAACCATTGGCGGCTTGAAGGGGAGGGGGGCCGGACAGTTTGACTTTCCCACCGACGTCGCTGTGACGAACTTCCACATTTTTGTACTCGACAAGGGAAACAACAGAGTACAGGTTTTGGACAAGAGAGGAAGCTTCGTCCGCGCTTTCGAAACAGGGAACGAATTCTCCAAACCTCAAGGCATCGCCGTGAACCCTAGCGGACAGGTAGTCGTGACCGATCTAGGAAACGGTACAGTGAAGATATTTTCCCAAGAAGGCGAGCTCTTGGAGTACTTCGGAGAAGGTTTCGCCAAACCGTGCGGCATCAGCATACACCCATGGACCGGGGTGGTCGCCATTTCGGACATACAGAAAGAAAGAGTCACCTTACATCGCCCGGATGGTAGCTTGCTACTGACGCTAAACTCCAGAGGAGAGGGGAACAAGTCGTTCAAAAAGCCTGCGTATGTCGGTACGCTGAATTCCGGCGGTGTGCTGATTTCAGACAACGCTACTCAGTCCCTGAAGTTGTACAGCCGGGCAGGGGAGTTTGTGCGAGCGGTAGGGAAGACTACCGAGAGAGTAGACGGGAGCGGACAGCTTCGCTACCCGAGGGGAATCATCGTGGACAACGATGACAACATCATCGTGGCGGATGCTGATAACGGTATCTATATCTGTATATCTGTATCTGTATACGCACTCCAGCGTAATACACCACCTTCTGTATCTGTATAGCCCGTCGGTATAAATGAACTTCGGTGTAACACACCTGGTCCAGCTTCTGTATCTGTATCTGTATAGCCGGAGACATCACCAAATGAAACAAATCCAAGCAGATTTTAGAAGGGAAAGACTGGGAAAATGAAGCCAGAATTGCATATTGACTCAATTCCTTACAGCACGTACATGTAACTGCTGTTAATAAACTATAACAACAAAACTCTAAATATTTCAATTAACGTTATGCATTACCAATTGGTGACCAATTATTTGAGCCGCACATCGTCATCGCACTCATGCCACCAAACAACCCTCCAATCTAGCCCCCCTGGCAGCTTAATTTAAAGAACATTTCTTGTTTCTTCTGTCTTCCAGGTACGGTGGACGTGTTCGACTCGAACGGCAAGTTCCTACTGCACACGGCTAACAAGGCGGACGGACTGAAGCGGCCCACCGGCCTGGCCCTGCTGGGAGACCGCAGGCTTGTTGTGACGGACACGGCCACTCACAGCGTGCTCATACTCAACATGGCGGACAAGGATATCCTGCCGAGAGACGCAGGCGGGACAGACTCGCCTAGCAAAGTCTGCAGTGTGATGTAGCCTGAGTGCCAATAGCCTGGTTACCAGACAGAATGGCCCTGCTCGCGGACCGCAGGCGTATAGCCTGGGTGCCAGACTGTAGCCAGGGCCAGTATACAGGCTAGCTCCTCGGCTCCAGGGCTAGCCTGGGTGCCAGACTGTTGCCAGGGTCAGTATACAGGCTAGCTCCTCAGCTCCAGGGCTAGCCTGGGTGTCAGACTGTTGCCAGGGTCAGTATACAGGCTAGCTCCTCAGCTCCAGGGCTAGCCTGGGTGCCAGACTGTTGCCAGGGTCAGTATACAGGCTAGCTCCTCGACTCCAGGACTAGCCTGGGTGCCAGACAGTTACACCTAATTCTCTTAATTGAAACGCGCACATGTATCTATTTATAGAATGGGGAAACTAAAGCAAATAAAGTTCCTTCAAAGTGCCACGCTTTTTAAAACGCTTGTATAAAAAGCACAGCGATTCGTTGTAAATGATTGATATTACAAAGAATATTGTCACCGTAACAATAATTGAAACGGTGCCATTTCCAACAGCAAAGCCTTCAAGTTTTTCATGTATATTCAAAGATTGTGTTTAAGATTGGTTCACAAATTTCCAAGAGTGTGTGATTTCTGTGACCTGTCTGCCCACTGTGCGTTTTGATTGAGAAATTGTCTTGCAAACGCGATGGAGTTTACACCTGTCTTGTCAATACATTCAAAATAAATAAACAAAAACGGCTTCACGTAGAAGTTTTCAATCTATGATATATTTACGGAGAAGGTAATATCTGTTCGTTCCACCCATAAACATGTACTTTCTTTCGAAACGTTACATCTTAGTAACTTATACATTCTAAAGTATACATCTAAGTAACATGTATTATCTTTCCAAACTTTACATCCAAGTCGAATACTTGAGTTATGGTCGACCCTGTTCACTTTGATATGTTTCATTTGACACCAGAGGATTAAAAGAGCTAGTGCCACTTATCCATAATATCTTCTAATTATTATGGCTTTCTTCACTATATGGCCACGAAATTTCAGATTCATCCTATAGTAAAAACGATTTAATAAAAATATTGAATATTCATCTTTCCTCAGAAGCACACTGCCGGCTACACTGTTGGTTTTTTTAAATATATTTTCATGTACGGTACATAAGGTTGATAAGGTCTAGAAAACTTTCACTTGTCTTTACAATTTCACTTTTTGTACTTCAAGTACATTTCTGTCGTAATAAGTCATCTACTGCATATCATAAGATTTGACCAATAAACCATTTTAAGAAAATACTGCATATCATTATGAATATTTTAAACATAATAAAATAAACGGTAGGTTCCCCCTATGATAACGTTACTAGGTTTTGGGAGGTTGCTATATCGTTAACAACTAGTGCTCTGTAACCATACCTACCGATTGTACCTTATCAATAGTTTGACCATATTTCCACATATACGACCATAAGGCACCCTGAGATTATGATATAGATGATATGTTATTTGTCATTTAATGCCCCCCTCCCCCTTCATCCCCATACCTACCTACATGTAGTCCCCTGACCGAATAGATCGTTGGGGGGGACAAGGCAGTTTTCAACTGTCTTCATACTCATAAATTTCATATATATTTTATCTACACTTACATGAGTTTTTCATGCCTCTATCATGCTAATGAGAAAACAATCAAATCTACTATTATCTACAAAACTACCTCCTCTCACATTTTTGCTGCGCCGATTTCCACAGTTTGACCATTTTTGCCGGCTCTTTGACCCAGTGACTGGCTATGAGTTTCTGATGTCGACAAGGATCTATGTCGACGAAGTAGTTGTAGAAATGTTCGTTGTCTATAAGATCTATACCAAGTTTCTCAAGACACAGCCCGATGTAGACGTCTTCTAAGAAGTAGTTCTTGATATTTTGAGACGTCACGTAAACCTGGTAAGTGATGTCGTTGGAAATAACATAGGCGAAACCGTTAGGGTACTTCGGGTAGGATTCTCTGGGATAGTCTTGTGAAGGGACAGCCCATTTTCGTCTCTGTTCCTGAATCGGTTTGCCTTCCCTCCAAACTTCTCCAACAACGATCCTCCCCTTCTTATTCTTCCCAAGTTCTTGAAGATACGCCACGAGGTTGAAGACGTTTACGAAGGTGTCGTCGTCGGTCTTAAGGAGGTACCTCGCCTTGGGGCAGAACTTAAAGGCATACTTCAGACACATGATAGTCTTGTGGGTCAGGTTGTGGTACGAGTCCACGAAGTTTTCCTGAATGATGTCGTGGTGAAGCTTGTCCTCCTGCTCCAGAGCCTGTTGTGTCACCACGCTGTTGGTCTTCCCGATGGCGAAGAGAGTTCTGATAGCGACTCCGGGAACGTTGGTTTCGTTTCCCCACGTCTGGCGGATGCTCTGTCGCTGTTTGACGTTCTGTGGTGAGGAGGTGACGATTATGAGAAGGAAGACCCAGTCTTTGCACTTGTACGGATGGTGGATGGTGAAATAGTAAGGGTGAGGGTTAACAGCTACAGGAGCCACTGGGTTGGGCTTGGCAACCACTGGGTTAGGCTTGGGTGCTCCTGGGTTGGGCTTTGGTGCCCCTGGGTTAGGCTTGGGCGCTCCTGGGTTAGGCTTTGGTGCCCATGAGTTGGGCTTAGCGGCAACTGGGTTAGGCTTTGGCGCCCCTGGGTTGGGCTTGGCCGGCCACGGGTTGGGTTTGGGTGGTGCTGGGTTAGGCTTGGGCGGCCCTGGGTTGGGCTTTGGTGCCCCTGGGTTGGGCTTGGGCGGTGCTGGATTGGGTTTGGCCGGCCATGGGTTAGGCTTGGCAGGTGGCGCTATTTTTGGCTGGTTGTTTTTCGTTTCTTGTCCTCTGCTGTTCGTCTGGACTGCTTTCTCCTTGCTTTTTCCTCCAACCGATTCCGACTTCACCAGCGGCAAGTCTATTTTTGAGTTGGAGTTGTCCACCATTCCCGGAGAGACTATCTTTTCTTTCAGCACAGTCCCGTTGTTACTTAGATCTCTGGACAGACGCATCTGACTCCGTAGAACGTTCAGCCTCTCCGCCCGTCGCCCGCGCTGTTGAAAGATGAGGTACAGCTGATGGTACACGAGCACTATGGACAGGACCAGAACCACGTTAAACATCATCCCGACCTTCCCTCGTCCGGACCACATCTTGGATATCATCTCGTCTCCTGCAGGGTTGATCTGGAAAAAAAATATAAAATATAACATGTTTAGTGCCTGTAGTTATTACTAGGACAAAATTACACTAGGGCAAACAAAACATAGATCACCAGCGTATAGGAGATGGTTCACAACAGAACTGTCCATACCGCAACCGACCTTAGCATTTATCAATCCTAATGTGGTATTTGAAAATTAAGTTTCAAGTTTCAAAAGTATATTCCGCCTACTAAAACGGAGCTAGTAGAGTTTTACTTGATGGATTCATCGTTTTGGTGAATCTCGTTATTGCCAATTCCCAACCCCGGTAGTTTTCAGGAACGAAAAATATAATGTAGAAGGCGCAAACAAAAAAAATGTTGAAAAAAAAAACTAATCATGAGTACTATTTGTGTATATTGTTGGTGTCTTGTTAATTTTTCGTTCATGCAAACAGCTCGGTCCGGTCCGGTTTGGAAATGTGATCTAAGCATCACACGTAGCGGTGTTATAAGCTTTGTTCTCGAGATTTAAGGCTTAAAAATTCCTCAGTATGGGATGAACACCCGTGTGGTCTACTTTTTGGGTGTGTTCGAAATACTCATAGCGTAAGTATGCCACAAATAAAGACATATACTGTTTACTACATATACACATTGACGGATATAGATTACTTGTCTACTGCAACAGAAACGAAGAAGAATATATCGAAAAACTTTCTACCACGATTTCAACATCACTCTAATGTCAGATCGAAAATTTTACAGTGGACCAACGAAAAAGTCCAGGATCGGCAGGAGTTTGTTCAGGTTTGTCGGGTAACTGGAAACACGACATTTTTCTGAGGCTTAAGTATTATAACGCCTACGTCTCAGGGTTTGTCCACATGCCAGTTACCATGACACACACATGTAGTACATGCCAAAACCCCTTCACACCAGGGACATGAAAGCTTCTTGATCACACTAACGTTTCTTAAGATCGTGTATTGATATTAAACTGACTTCATCGACACTTGCAATCGTGTTGATTAAATCCAACCCAGATTCAGACATGGTTGATCCACCAGAACGCGGCTTGACATTTAGAAAAAAGATTTCTAGGTCATCATTTGATTTTTATCACAAAGACCTATAGGAGTCTTAGTCCTATAATTGTGTAGCCCGGGGCACCTCACACACGCCCATGTGATTCTTTGGACAAAGACTATAACTTACAGACGGGTGGGGCATAATTTTTTTTCTTTTTTGTCCCTTCCTGTGTTGTATACACTTCTAGCAAAAACGTTCAATGCCCTTTAGGACATTTTACACAGGCTGAAAGGTCCACTAAGCATGAGAGATCCACAAAGGGGCAATTTGGAAAGAACTAGGCTATAATCACTTTGCACAAGAACAATCGTAACTTCACAAAGACCTCAAATTATCGCCGACAGGTCCGACAATTATCGACTCTGTGATTTGCCAGATGTGAACCAATTTTGAAGTAGATGTAGTGATCTGGTCCATTCTAGAGTTTTCCGCCTTTTTTCAACGTTTTGTACTCATCTCTAGTATTACACTTTTTGTACCTCCGAGGTCGCTCTGAATCTTTTCAATTGAAAGCTGATATCGTGACTGTAATCTCTAACACTCACTGTGATTATTTTTCAAGTGGGTCAAGCAAAATTCTCAAGCAAAATTTGTAGGTCAACGTGAAATTTTTAGCTACCTAATTTGCTTCATAGAATACCTGCACACCTATTCCTAACGTGTGTGAACGCAGGTAACCTCCCTTTCTCCTTTTGTTCGTGGTAATTTTGTAAATCCCCGACAGGACCTGACTATAGATAATTCGGAAGCCAGAGGCGAAGGGTGATTCAGATGTAATCTAAGGATCATTCTTGCCCTTCAGTCGTGGGAACCAGCTAAGCAGACATTCTTCAACAATCATTTGTAGTAGGTAAGTGGATGCAAAGAGCATGCTTTAAACAACTGCAACAATGCATAAGAATTTTACCAATGCCAAGCATGACTATGACTAGTAGTCTTAACAAGTTTTAACTTTTTCTCGTTGCAATATTTCTAACAATACAGAACAAAGTACGTGGTGTCGCACTCAACACGGCAAAATGGCTTGTATCAGCGACAAAAAATAATGATACAATTATGTAACAAATTGGGACGGAAAGCTTCAACTTTTGTGTATGATAAGTAACATAGATCAAGTTCCCATCGTGGGTCTATATTTGTAACCTTCTGTTAAGCTAGATAATTGTGCCCACCGGTGCAGTTTCTTTGTACATTAGCAGTGGTGCACTATAGTGGAGACAACAGTGTCTGGCACCAGGGTAAGTGACCCGGTCCTTATTGTAGGGCAGAAGGAAGTTAGCGCAAAAGTCACGCCTCCGTGTGCTCTTCTTCTTCCCTTTTCGCGCTAACCTCAAACGTTTGAGGGCTCCAGCACGGTGGGGGTGGGGGTATTGGATGGGGGTGGTCGCAAGTTTTGTATGTATGTATATGTTGTGGACTACAGCTCCTCAATGGGCAGGGGCGCCACCGTCCGCCACCAAAAGCAGGGTGGCGGTGAGTACCCGGTCTGACACATTGTTCAGAAGCTCACCACATCCTGCCTCCTATGAACGCATGACTGCAAGAATGGGGTACCAGATAACTCTATATGCAGAGGTTTAGGCCTATTTTTGCCGCGTTTTTTAATTAGGCATCTTTTTGTACGGGAATCTTTTTTCCTCCATTCGTATTTACATACTGTCTTGGCTATTGGCGAAACTGCCTTGGCTATTCGAAACTGTCTGATAAATTTGATACTGTCTTGTTTTGTAGCCACCAAAAGATCTGTTTGGAGATTAGAACCAGTCGCTTATATTACGAACTAGCTGGCCGTGGTAAAATACAAGTACAAGTATATAAGATTGTCGGCAATGTATGAGAATATTTTGTACTTCTCCTGCATGCCTTTTGGCCATGCGCCAAAGAGTCGATGTCCTCCACTTTATAGTTTGAAACTCCTTGATCTAACGTACATTATCCTTTAAGTGTGAAACATTTGTTAATGAACATTTCTATCCTAGATAAACCCAGGGGACAGACGGCATGGTAGGTATTTGCTAACTTTTTTCTCCAGAGGACGGAAGCGCCCATGTGTACTCGTCGATGCCAACTGACTATCCGGAAGCAACTTTCTCAAAAACTAGTGCAGCATCGTAAATTAAAAACATCGCAACCTGGGAAATCGGGGCATGCGACATACTATATCCGTCATAAGAGAGAAACTTTGCGTGAAAAATTAAACATCGAAGCCTATATCGAAATAAAGAACACAGGGTTGTATCCCCCTCCCTCCGATATGACCAGCCCCACGACACAGACAACGCTAACTCTTGTCTCATTCCCTGCACCTAAACCCTCGCGTCAACCCAAGTGCAGCCAGATCAACTCACAAATCTACAAATAATAGCTTTAACCGCAAACTCACCCAAACTGTTGTGGAGAAGCGCGGCTATGTCAGGAGAACACCCTTCCTTTCAGGTGAGTTGAACATAATGTTGGGTCGTCCTACTCACTTCGTCATTCGTGACGTCAGCCGTGACGCAGTCAGTCCAGTCCACTTTTCACAGGTGGTCTTCTGCAGTTGGAACTGCTCTACTTTTTTTTCGTACATTAAAATGAAAGCGATTTACATTGTAAAACGAAATATCACAGTTTTCAGTACCACCTTCTACTCATCTGCAGAGTCTACCATGACTAGAGTGATATCTAAGAAGTGTTTTCTGTTCGCAGAGCAGACAACTATAACCCGACGGAGGCGTGAATTAGTCCCGACAAATTTAGGCCGTCCAACCAGTTTGATGAGTCAAACTCCCAAACTGCCAAAATGCGTCTATTTAAGTCCGTAGCTGTGGATACCGTCAACACAAATATTATTTAACCCATGATAAGAGCTGTTAGAGACGCTCTAGTAGTTAAAAGAGACGCTGTAATAGTTGGAATCCAGACTGGTTGAAAGATACCGGTAAAAAGTTCAATGAGTTCGTTACGTCATGTGACGTCATGAGACCATTACACAACAGCAATTTGTGTCTCTCTGGTTTTAATACCTAATTTGCTAGAAGATCAACCAAAGCGACATAAAAACAGATGACAAAGTCTGTACATTGGTATACACAGAACGTAGGCAGAAGCAAGTATTACTCCCAATCTGTTGTGCTTGTTTTATTCATTCATTGTGCGACTTTTTATCCCGTAGGCTGTGACAGAACAACCACCCACAAGGATCCACGACAATCGTGCAGATCCGTCGCAAGACAGCTGACGATCGTGCGACACATATACGACCTTCACAAGACTGAGTTTGCTGACTATCGTACTATCTGTGAATGTGACCGGTCGGCTGACAGGGCAATGACTTTCAATAACCTTTCATTCATTCTGGAGCCGTCAGCACGTGGTATAGTACGTGTAACCTTCAACCTAGTTCGTCATGACGTTTCTGTGTTCGATCTTATTAATTGCTTACGTGTGATGACGTCATTGCGCTTCCGGTGGCCATGTTGGTTCGGCCTCGCTTCCACAATGTCGTCTGTAAGTACAAGATGGCTGACTGATACCTTATACCATTCATACATTTCTTCTTCGACGTCAAGTTTTACCAATAAACGACGTCAAGTTTTCACCAATAGTATTTTTTAATGGTCACCTCTTGGTTCGTCTGTAGTTTACATCATTGATTGAAGGTTTACTGAGTTTAGAATTAAACGTGATACAGTGTATGATGTTGTGTCGATTTACGTTGTGTCGATTTATTATATATAGTCGTGGGGTTGTGTGGCGTAGCGGCAGAGTGCGCGACCCGGAACCAAGAGGTCCGTCCCGGGTTCGAGTCCGATCTTGTGCCCTTGGGAAAAACACTTTACACGACTTTCCTCACTTCACTCAGGTGAAAATGAGTATTGTTCTGTCATGTATTTGTCCCCTGTGTTGGTGGCGGCATTAATATAAGTTGAAAAAAATTGAGTGTGCCGTCACCACGTCTGGTGATTACATGTTGGAAAAAATATATATATATAAAACTTTTGCATATAAAAATTATCAAGTACATGTACTAAAAATTCACAACCGAGAAAAAACAACGAGAAGACGCCCACAAAAGCTACCAAAGATCGCGCAGAATGTCCCACAGTCCGAAGAAAGATTCTTTACAGTTCGTATTTAACGCCTTCCATGACGTCATCATGGCCTGAGGCGTCTTCACCCAATGAGAGGCGATGAAGTCAAACTGCGGAGAACACGGGATCGTTCCCGTGTACATGGACCAAAACTTATCTGAAGGCACGACATCAACACCCAACTTTTCCAGGCAAATCCCTAAATAAACATCTTCTATAAATAGATACTCTGTCACCAATGACGTTTCGAAGAGCAGTTTTGTGAGATCGTTGGAGATGACATAGGTGCAGCCGCATGGGTAGTGAGGGAAGGTATCTCTTGGGTACTCCTGTTTTGTGACGTACCACTTTTTGTATGTGCTGTTCGGGTCTCGGATGGGTTTGGAGTCTACGTACACGTGACCTGTCACAAACCTGCGACTGGCGTTAGGCTGCAGCTGCTCTAAATGGTTCACCAGCCTGTACACATCAACAAACGCGTCGTCGTCCGTTTTCATGACAAATCTAGCCTGGGGGCAATACAAGAAGGCCCATTTCCACACCATGACTGCTTTCAGAGTTAGGTTGCGGTACGTGTCTATAAAATCCTCCTGGATGATATCGCTGTGGATTGCGTTTTCCTTTTGTAAATCCTCCTGTATAGAGGTGTTCTTCGGAAGTCCGATTGCAAAGGCACGTTTGATGACGATTCCAGGAACGTTGGACTCGTTACCCCAGGTTTGGCGTATGGCCTGTCTCTGGTACCGATACTCAGGCGAGCTGGTCACTACAATAAGGAGAAATACGTTCTCACGCCCACATTTATCCGCATTGTTTAGTACGAACGAATACGGATGCGGGTTGACCAAGTTAGAAGCGTTTTTAAATGTCCCATTGTTTGAGTAGGCCTGAAAGCTTGATGATGTATGCAGTACTTTATTCCCCAGTGATGTATTCAGGTCAGGAGTGACTCTGTGTAAAGCTGCTCTCCTGACAATACTCTGCAGTAAGCGGTTCTTGGTAGTAACAGAACGTTGTTCTATACCCTTCTGTGGATGTACGTTGCTTCGAAGTTGTTGCAGTTGGGGGTAGAGTTGGTAGAGAAGTAGAAATAAGCAAGCGGTGAGGATGAACTTGGAGGTGGAGTTCACCTTCCTACACCCGGGCCAAGTCAGCAGATCCGCAGTCATGTTATCTGTCAAACCTCTCATCTGCAAGACACAACAAGACATCAGAGATTTCAGACTTCCTGGTAGTATTTTTTTGGAGTTTTGTAACCTCGTGTCATTCGTGACGTCAGCCGTGACGCAGTCAGTCCAGTCCACTTTTCACGGGTGTTCTTCTGCAGTTGGAACTGCTCTACTTTTTTCATACATTAAAATGAAAACATTGTAAAATGAAATATCACAGTTTTCAGTACCACATTCTACTCATTCTACACACACACACGCACACACACGCACACACACACACACACACACACACACACACACGCACACACACACGCACGCACGCACACGCACAAACACGCGCGCGCGCACACACACACACACACAAATAAACAAACACGCAGATTATGATCGGCTTATGCTTGATAGCATGCAATCATTTTGAAAGGGTATTAAGAGAAAACCAGCTTAAAACACGATGCTAAGTCTCACACCAATTATTTTAGCCGATCGTGAATTAATACTATCATCGCCCAAAATAGAATAAGGAACAAAGAAAGACAAGTAAACGAAATCCACTGTATCAAGGGCACAGTACTGGAAGGCGGAGCTCACTCCTCTACTTCCACCGCCCTTTACCTCCCCAACAGAAGTCCTTTTACACCAATGAAATATGCACACAAGGGTCGGGTGAGGAATTTCTGAATAGGCCAGGTTCAGGCGAAGTTTGGGATAGTCTCCAGGTATCCAAGAACCCAGATTTGCCCTGAGCATATGGTTTGAATAAAGTGCCTTTCCCAACGGCGCAACGTCCAGCCAGGAATGCCAGAAATCAAACCTGTGACGTGCCGTGCCAGCTACACTAACCACGTAGCCATTCCACGCCACACACACACACACACACACATATATATATATATATAGACAGACAAATTAGACAGGTAGATTGATAACATATACAGGACTGTGAAGTTTGATCTTGAATTTGTGACCTAGTTTTGAGCCGAGGAGTTCCCAGGGGAAACTTCCCCTACGATAGACTGGTTTGAATAATTGATACAACATTTTGCACTTATTGCAGGTTATGGAGAACAGGTGTCGACGTCAGAAACAAAGAACAGCTCACTGAACAGCTGTGTGTGGATCTAGCCTCTATCAGGCTTCGGGAGGCGGCTGGAAAGAGTACAAATCAGCCAAATAGAGAGATAGCATACCGGGGGAGTTTGGTGCGGCAAAATGTTCTCTCCCAGCAGACAAATTAAACTTCCCTGGCATGCTATCTCTCTATTTGGCCGATTTCTTCTCTTTCCAGTCGCCTCCCGCTGTCTGGTAGAGACTGGTACGGTGTGGATGAAGATACTATCCAGATGTGTGAAGGGGCCATATAGCATGTTCATCGTCTGTCAGATTAAATGCTGTATCCAGAATCTTGTTTATCCAGAAACTTGAAGACTATCCAGAACCGTGCCTGATCCTAACCATGACCTACTAGTATTCAGGCATAGGACTAGATAGGCATGGTTCTGAGGACAATAAAGAAGAAGCATTTTAACAACGTGTGTAATTTACGTTTAGCCACACACTCTTTGGCTGGATGCCAAACTAGTATCGGGCCGTTAGCCGTTTTCCTTCGGCAGCCGAGAGCCTTTCGCCTAAATTACCACTACAGGGGAGTTGAGCCTGAGGGGAGTTGGCTGGCCCTAGAACCCAGCCAACCTCCCCCCGGGCTAGACTCCCCCGTAGCGGTAATTTACACCAGCGGGCGAAGGGCTTTTGTGGCCCGGACAGCGAGTTTGGATTCCAGGGTATGGCGACAGCGACAACAAAAAGAACAAACACAAAACCGCCAGCCCCTTGATTGCGCTTTACAACCCCGGCCTGCATGTCATAGATGCCATGCATACTCCATTGTTCACCTGAGCAGCCAGCAGTTTTAGAGCTGCCTTGTTTTCTTAACACTATACGAAGCGTAACACTCGACACTCATAATATTGATATTAGTGAGGCTATGAAAATAAGGCTGACATCATGTATGAGGAAATGAGATGATATTGTACTCACCTAGGATGTGCGATTAAAAATATCGTCGTAACAGTCCCTGAATTCCCTGTGAGGCAGTCTGAGTAACTGTTGTCAGATCGGGTAGACCATTCTTCACAGCCAGAGTTGGAACGGCGACGATCTTACAATCGGTGGGGGCGAATCGTAACGTTGTTGACGTCCGGCTGCCGTCAGCACATAAAAGACCGCTAATCGACAGTAATTTGTCCGAATGCAGGAACGATCTTCCAGCTGTACGGGTTTGATCCACACACAATGGGCTTGAACCCTGTATCTGTATCTGTATAGCCGGTATAACCGCCTTTCGGTGTAACACACCAGCTTCACAGGCAAGCGGCGCGGCGGCAGCTGGCTCTCCTACTCATAACGATGAGCCTTTTCGGTTCTTTGACCGGATTTCGAGATGTAGCCCTCCTCAAACACGGGATCGCCCGTCCGAGGGACGGTCCGTTCCTGCTGGAAGCTTGCTGCACAGGTGCTAAATTTCACCTGAGTAGAGTGAGGAGTGATCCGTGTAAAGTGCTTTTCCCGAGGGGACGACATCGGGGCCTGTCAGGGGTTTAAACCAAAGCCTCTGCATGAGATTTTGAAGCTGCTTGGAGCGCGATATATTACTGAAACCAGGCTAGTCTTTATCTATGGTTGGAATAGATAGAAGCATCAACCGAATCAAATCGCTGGTAGCCAGTGACACCATCGTAGGCTCCCCGGTGTCTCTGCGGTGCTGGGAGTACTGCCCGCCCGTCCAGGTCCATTAGCGCGCTCCGGTGCTTTTACGGGGTCTGTTTCAGGTACTTCGGCAATTTATGTTGTGCCAAAACAGATCTAGATGGTTTCTAGTATCATACTTGAATGCCAGATCATTGTAGGCTCATCCGTATCTCTACGGTGCTTAGAGAACTGCAAACCCGCGCGGCCAGTCAAACCTACAAGGCGGCCAAACTCCCCTGGCAAATATTTTCTCCTATATATAGCCAGCGTAGTTAGTCTGGTAGAGACTAGAAACGATTAATGTTTGTGTAAAAACAGATGGTTTCTATTTTCACACTTGCGAGTCTCGCTTGTAGCCAGATCATCGTTGGCTCCGCACTGGGAGTACTTCATCACATCCGCCAAACGTCAGCGTTCCCAGGGGTTCAATTTCAGGCACGCTGAAAAGCTAGACTGTCAGCTGGAAATGATAGGCCTGTGCGAACTTGGACTTGAGCCAGTAAAACACTCAGTAAGCCTGTCCTTAGGGAACAGTAACAACTCACATGTGCAGACACATGTGCTGTCTGTAACATCGGATAGAATTTCATTGGCAGGACGTTACAGAACCCTGCTGACTGTGGGCCACCGTTACAGGAGAACCTGCATGCCTTTTTTCGTTAACCGTTATGGGCTATTTTAATTCACCGATAATCGTTACCGACCTGCTCTAATTCAACGTTAAGGGTTTTCAGTATATTCTTCGAGAAGCGTTATTGGTCGTTTTAATTCTACGTAGAGCGTTATTTGTCATCCGAAATTCAGCGTTAAGCGTTAGTGAATAATTCTTCGTTACGCCGTCAACCGTTGCCAGGACCCCCCCCCCCCATGCTGACCCTCTTACAAGACTTCTCCAATTAAGGTTGTGTCAAAACGGATGGTTTCAAGTATCATATTTGACATCCTCCCTTGTTTTTGAATCCACGGGCCCTCCTCTGTAAAACCAGAGGGATCACATCTGCCTATTCTTATAAAGAAGTGGACTAACCATGACAATAGAGGATCGATCTCTCACAAAAGATGAACTAAACGTCCACAAAAGGCAGAGCATTCAACTCGTCACGCGAGCCGCAGGTGGGCCGTTAGCAGCCGCCTGGTGGAAACTGTCGGTAGTGCAGTGATCACAGTGTGCACTGCTTCAGTTGGTTGATGATTTGCGACGCCTGTCGGAGGCTAGACTTGGTACAGGGTTGCATCAATTCTTATAAGTTAGGCCATGTTGATTTGATTATATGGATGACATCCTCCGGGAGCCCCAAAACTGATGCGCGCGTGCGAATAAAAAAAAAGTTTTGCAAAAAAAAAAGTTAACTTTACTATTATGAAATACTACGTGGTCATGAGGGTTGAGCAAATGGCACAGAATATGGTTTGGCGAATAATCTAGTCTTCAAGTTCATTTCTTTACAATTTCGTCTTTTTTCGTTTGGATTTTGGCATTCTACGACATTGGTATAGTTTTTATTAATTTTTTTGTAACTTATGGTATATTTTTGCTCATTTTGCAACTGTTTTGTACGATTTACAGTATGGTTGAAAACTTTTTTTTTTTTGGAAACGGCCGAAAATTCATGAGCGCGTGGATGTCATCCATATAATCAAATCAACATGGCCTAATATACCGGTGCCGTCTGACATGTCTTACCCTACCACAAAATGCATATGGACTGATCCACCTCAAACGCCGACAAGAAAAACGGCCTGTTCCATTAAGGGTCAGCGAGTAACCTTTGAGTTAGCAAACCTACGAGTACATGGAAGCCAACAGGGTAGAAAATGCAGTCTAAGAGAACAAAATTGATAAATTCTGCTCATAGAGTAACTCTAGGCTTTGAAACGTATAAATAGTCTACAAGATAGATATAAACGTACGTTTGTTCATCAACCAGCCTGACATGTTCTTAATTACAGGTCGGTTGTTCTCAAAAGTGGAATGTAACAACTAGACAGCGTTTTCTCGCCTGTTAACTTTAATGTTCTATCTGCCTGTGGGAAGCATAAGGTCAGCTGAGGACGTGTGCCGGCCATGTCAGCCCGGAGTCCAGCCTTGTTAGCTTTGGTCCGCTGGACTCCAGGCTACAGGCCTGGGGACGTATCACCCCCATAACAAGCATGCAGACACCTAAGTTATTCAGAAAATGCAGTCTGTAACAGTAGCTGCTGTGAAGTGCCTGAGGGAATGTTTCAAAGGTATAACAAGGACTCATTCAACCGGACCAAGTAAACAAACGGCAGGAGCTGTGACTGTGAAGAAAAATGACACAACGATGTTCGTGTTATGAGGGCCTGCAAGCCCTTTTTTGTAAGGCGTAATCAGGCCGTTTTAGACTTCGTAATTCGTAGGCAGCCTCCGCAAAAATCAACGTAATTCGTAATTGGACATTAGCCGCAAATCGTAAAGTCGTAATCAGCTCTGAGACTTTAACGTAATTCGTAATAGGTGGCGAAAAGTTTGCGTAATTCATAATCACTACCCCCCAACCCCCTTGCAGGCCCTCTGTTATGTCACGTACTACAAAAACCTTCTGTCTAAAACTGTCTAAAAGAGTCAGACACTAATTACAGACACAAACGCGACCATATTTGCATCTTTATCTGTTTCATTGCCCGCCGGCCAATTTGCCCACTTCTCTTAACATAAAGTGGCTCCGTCGACTCGACTTCTGAGAAATGGAGGCCCCCAAATCTGGACAATCACAAATAGAAAAGACAAAGGCAGAAGAGCTAGGCAAAGTGGAGAACTGTGCTGCGTTGCACACGTCCCTTTATTCAACTTCTCCCGACTGTTTTTTGTCCCGTCAAACTACATTTCATTATTCCAGCTTTATATCTTGCATTAAATAAACCACTCACTCAGAAATTGGTCTACTATCCGCTTTACGAAAGCCAAAATTAGGTAGCAACAATCCGCGGTTGACACACATATAACGCATGTTTGCGCGACATCTTTAAAATTCAGGCAAACTGGCAATAGTAGACATAGTGGCGACACACTCAAGTTGACTAAACGTATTTTGACAGCACTATTGTACAACCAAGGAGCTTATTATTCCTATTGAAAGCTCCTTGGTACAACATTGAGCCATCTTCAATCTACAATCCGGCAAAACATAGCAAACAAGCACAAAAAATATATGATGCAACGCGCTACTGCAGTCGGTATAAGCAACAGTACTGCAATGTCTTTATGTGATGTAAGTAAGGCTTTAGAACTTCCAGCTTGAAGAGTCGAGGTCTGCAACACCAATTTGCTGAACGCTATATCGTGTTCAGCAGATTTAGATATCTCCCATGTTATCTGCGGTTTAGAAGTCAAAGGCTTGTAAAGTACATGAGGTGGCAAGCATACCCGTTCCTATCATGTTCCTTATGTTAACCTTCGCAGAAGGAAAATATTGTTTTTGCTTTGTTTCGTCTTCTTAAGCCTGACCTGGACCTGACGGCTGTCACCATGGTAACTTGTTTTGGGTTACATTATGTAGCAAGTTACAGGACAGAGATAGAGAGGCTGGTCACCATATGTATGAATTTGTTTGCGTTAGAATAAACAGAGCAGTAATTTTTTTAGACCATCCCCATGTTAAGGTAAACATTATACATTAGCCTTGCAAACGCTACCTTTCTAGTTGAAGGTATTTCCACTTATAAGGAGCATCACACTTTTAAAACGTACATATATTTCGATGTTCTATTTCTGTAGTTTTGTTTAATGGCCACATTTGTGTTACATGTACTCTTGTTGCGTCCATAGGGTT